AGATCCCTTAGCAAGATGCCTTCTCCTTGGATCTCCATCTTCTTGGTAATTATTTTGCCTTTAGAAATCACTCATAAGCCTCCATGAATTACCTTGGAAAACTAGGCTTGTGGGAGCCTCCATTAGATGAGAACATAAACCCTAATTTTCTAGAGAGAGAAAATTTATTCCCTTTTTTCCTTCTACTAAAAATCACCACTAAAATATACATAGACCATGTATATTTATAAGCAACATAAAGGTAAAGAAAAGGAAACAACTAATCCTTCTCAATCTCTAATTCACATGTCTCAAATCTAATATGATTCCAATATCAAGTTGGGCTATGAGTGAGAATCCATTGGGCCTATTATTTTATTGGCTACAATGAATTAATAATTGGGCCGGTCCATGGACCAAATTCAATTAATTCATAAATTAATTTCTACTCCACTAAAAGAAATTAATTGAACTCCAATTAAATAATAAATAACCACTAAGTCAATATTGCACTTTGACCCCTCTATGCATAATTAGTTATCGGATAAGTAATGCCATCAATCCGACTACTTAATTAATATATTTATTTTGGTACCTTTGATTATTTCTGACTTGATCACAATAAAACATTTGTTTGACAAAAAATAATAATTTAATAAATAAATATATAATAAATCATTTTGTCTAAAAACATACGAAAGCCTTCGAATTTACTTTGTGATCAACCATAATCAATACAAAATAAATACAAGTAGCAATGATGCAAATATTAAAAATATAACCCTCTAACTATTAATTACATAACTACCCAAAGTGTCGGTCTAAGGATTCCGAAGAATCCGCCGAACAAATCAAAGTAATTATTATTAATAAAAGAGTTTATAATTTTCTCATGCTTAAGAGTCAAATGCTATGACGGTGATAGGGAGCAATAGCATACGACGGCTCTGCATTGATTGCCATCACATACATATATATAAATATTTCTTGTAATCACAGGGACACTATCAATTTCATAGTGAATCGAAACATAATACATTGAATTCACCAATTATATAAATCATAAATATTTCAGATATGTCAGGAACATATGTCACTATAATCCAGATAGGAATTTGCTATGCCAGGGCATATAAATCCCAACAGCTCCCACTTGAAGAAAATAAAATAATGTAAATGTTAGCTTTGGAGCGTATTCGAGGTAAACTCTAGAATATTGCACCAATTCATCTCATTTGTCTTATTTCACTTATTCAAAGCATTAATGTTCTCTTGGGTATCTTAAAGTAAAAGGATTAGGTTTTAGGAGTAGTAAATACATTTGTACCACCACGTTGTGAATAAAATATCTAAATTCTTTTTCTAGTCATTATAAATGAGGTCCAATATCATAGAATATGTAAGCAAGTAGATAAATGGATTAGACATAATTCATCTGAATATAAATGCATTCATACGATATACAAGGTGAATTATTAATACTATCATGCATATTTAAAATTAAAATGAGTTTGTTAACCACATAATATAATAAATCTCAATCGAACAAGAGATCATTATCATTATTGGTGAACAATCCCTTTTAATTAATGCGGGTCCCTCAACTCTGTAGCATAATAAATCAACCAATCAATATGTCAATAACTTATCCTGTTGGAGGAGTTCATTATTACTATTGTTGAGATTCATTTACTATTAGGCGAGCACTTCCATTAAAATAGTATGTGGGTCCCTTAACCACTGCATGAAAAATTGGATAACCAATACACCAATAACTTATTCGGTTGGCGAAGTTCATTATTGCTATTAGCGGGCAAATCCCATCATCTCCATATTTCTTAAGACAATGCCTTGTCTATCTATATGAAATGATTCCCGATTATGTTTAGCCTTTCTAAAATCACCTAGTGTAGACCACTCCGTTGGGGAGCTAACACTATTGATTTTAGATTGAGTGTATAACGTTATTAATGCTCTAATGAAAAATAAAATATTAAATATCTTGTCATTATAATCTAGACTCTTTAAATCATGCGTAGGGCCTTATTTTTAAAGATCTAATTACAATGAACATTTAATATTATTATTTTCATGAGACAACCATTCTTGTAATATTAAGACTCTTCAAATCATGCGTAGGCCTTATTTTTGAAGATCTAATTACAATGGTTTTAATAACGAAGGCCATGGGGTAATGTATAAAAATCCCCGCTCCCACTCAATTTTTAATTATTCATAATTAGGGTTTTGAATTTATTCATTTACATGATATAATGTATACAAAACGTCTTGATTTTAATCCAATTAAATTTAGAAAATATTTGGACTTAAATGATTCACTAATATTTAATTTGAGGCACACTTCAAAAATAATTTACAAAAATAATTTTTCGTTTCCCAATAAGTGGCCTCTAATTAATTAGTAATCAAATCTAATTAATTTTCATAATTTAATTAATATAAATCAAGTCATTTAATTAAATATCATGGATCCAATGCATGAATAATAATTAATTAACAATTATATATTCCATGCATTTCATACATCGCATAAATAAATAAATAACAGATAAAGCAAATAAAATGGCCAATGGAATCATCCATCGGCTTTTAACATTTAACTACTCTAAGTATTGCGGGAAGATCATCCATCGGCTTGCAAACACCCACATAAGGCTGGTACGCACCAGGAGAAGCAAAACACCGCTTGGAACGCGCTTGGAGGGCCCCACACGCGCTCACACGCGCCTGGGGCATGCTGCAGGTGAAGGCACGCGCCCCCACGCGCTGGCACGCGCCTGGGGCGCGTGGGACGCGCCCCCACGCGCTGGCACACGCGTGGGGCGCGTAAGACGCACCTCCATGCGCCTGCACGCGCGTGGAGGGAAGGTGGATTTGGCTGGCGCGTGAGACCCACGCGCCAGCATGTCTTCAATGCCTCTAGCTCTTGGCACGTGCTCCTCACGCGCCAGGCTCACCACCATAGAGCTGCACCTGATTCTAGCCTCCTCCGACGTCTCTTCTCGCCGACGGCGATGCTCCGGCCATCGGAAAAACGCCGAAAAATCTCAGAAAAATTTCCAGAAAATTAAATTAAGCCTCAAAAAATTCCAGAAAAATTCAGAAAAATTCCAGAAAATTACTGAAGCATAATTTAACCCTTTTGGACCTTCTTGAAGCTTCATAGCATCCTTTGATGAATATTACATGGCTTTAAAAATATTTACAACTTGAAATACAATGGAAAAAATAAATTACATCATTGAACTTTCAAATGGCTAAATCAAAGCCTTAATTACATTTATCCAAAGATAAAATTACATTCAATATTCCTATAAGCATCATCCATAGCCCAACCATACATCATCATTCATTCACAATTATTCATACATCATCATGTATCAATATATATCAACATATTAAATCATACATCAACATACATCAATAAAAATATATATGAATATAATTTTGGATCCATGAATGATGATTTTCATAAAATCATGATCTCTAGTAATGAATCAAACCATGCTCTGATACCACTGTTAGGAAAACGTGCAAGTTTTAAAAACTTTTCGAGGGATTTTGATTCATAGATCTTGATTCATCACATAGAGACAAGTTTTATGCAAAAATAAAAATATGATGTATCATTCAATTAATGGATTGAATACTTACATCAAAGGTCTGAGTAAACCTTTAAAACTTTCCTCTAAAGTGAATGTTCTCACTTATTGTAGATCCCTTAGTAAGATGCCTTCTCCTTGGATCTCCATCTTCTTAGTAATTATTTTGCCTTTAGAAATCACTCATAAGCCTCCATGAATTACCTTGGAAAACTAGGCTTGTGGGAGCCTCCATTAGATGAGAACATAAACCCTAATTTTCTAGAGAGAGAAAATTTATTCCCTTTTTTCCTTCTACTAAAAATCACCACTAAAATATACATAGACCATGTATATTTATAAGCAACATAAAGGTAAAGAAAAGGAAACAACTAATCCTTCTCAATCTCTAATTCACATGTCTCAAATCTAATATGATTCCAATATCAAGTTGGGCTATGAGTGAGAATCCATTGGGCCTATTATTTTATTGGCTACAATGAATTAATAATTGGGCCGGTCCATGGACCCAATTCAATTAATTGATAAATTAATTTCTACTCCACTAAAAGAAATTAATTGAACTCCAATTAAATAATAAATAACCACTAAGTCAATATTGCACTTTGACCCCTCTATGCATAATTAGTTATCGGATAAATAATGCCATCAATCCGACTACTTAATTAATATATTTATTTTGGTACCTTTGATTATTTCTGACTTGATCACAATAAAACATTTGTTTGACAAAAAATAATAATTTAATAAATAAATATATAATAAATCATTTTGTCTAAAAACATACGAAGGCCTTCGAATTTACTTTGTGATCAACCATAATCAATACAAAATAAATACAAGTAGCAATGATGCAAATATTGAAAATATAACCCTCTAACTATTAATTACATAACTACCCAAAGTGTCGGTCTAAGGATTCCGAAGAATCCACCGAACAAATCAAAGTAATTATTAATTAATAAAAGAGTCTATAATTTTCTCATGTTTAAGAGTCAAATGCTATGACGGTGATAAGGAGCAATTGCATACGACGGCTCTCGCAATATATCTCAACCTAACGCAGATCCAGTTCAAGTCTTAATTAATTATGAGTCCATCCATAATTACCGACTATGAACAATTTATAATTACTATGTATATATCATGCATTGATTGCCATCACATACATATATATAAATATTTCTTGTAATCACAGGGACACTATCAATTTCATAGTGAATCGAAACATAATACATTGAATTCACCAATTATATAAATCATAAATATTTCAGATATGTCAGGAACATATGTCAATATAATCCAGATAGGAATTTGCTATGCCAGGGCATATAAATCCCAACACTAACCTCTCGAAAAACGGAGCCTAGTTTCTCCAAAGGAAGGTTCCAACTCAGCATGCTTGACAACGGAAATCTTGTGCTCAGAACCATAAACCTGCCTACAGACCATCCTAATGAACCTTACTTTACAAGCGGGAGTCGGGATGACAATGATGCATCGAATGCAAGTTCCCGATTCGTCTTCAATCAGTCCGGATACATATACGTACTGAGAGCGAACTGCCAGAAGTCCATGATCTCACAAGGAGGAATTGTTTCAGCCACGGATAACTATCTCAGAGCAACTCTCAATTTCGACGGTGTGTTCACAGAATACTATCATCCCAAGATATCCAATGGCAACGAAAACTGGTCTGTGCTGTGGTCTGAACCGAAAAATATTTTCACAGCAAGTGTTGTGTCTGCAGGAAGTGGCACTTGCGGATATAACAGCCTTTGCCAGCTCAACACGGATGGAAGGCCGTCTTGTTCGTGCCCAAGAGGGTATTCCTTACTTGATCCAAGTGATCAATTTAGTGGCTGCAAACCGGATTTCACGCAGGGCTGCGAGGATGACCATGAACAACTATATGCTCTTGTTGAGCTATCCAACACTGACTGGCCATTTTCTGACTACGTGCTGTTGGAGCCTTTCGATAAAGGGGAGTGCAGGAATTCTTGCTTGCGAGACTGCTTGTACTCTGTTTCCATTTACAGAGATAATAGCTATTGGAAGAAGAGGATACCACTCTCAAATAGGAGAGTTGTTAGAACTGAAAGGAGCACGGCATTTGTCAAAGTCAGGAAAGATATTAATTCTTCCCCACCGGGTCCTTGTCCTCCCGATGAGAAGAAGCCGGGAAAGAACCACAACGAGACTAAAGTCCTCGTGGGATCGGTGCTATTAGTCAGCTCTGTGTTCTACAACTTTGTATTAATGGCTGCAATTCTTCTGGGCTTTTGCTTCATTTACAAGGGAAAGGACACCAGAATTCCCCAAGTCGAAAGCGTCGTGGACACTAATTTGCGTTGTTCCACATACCAAGAGCTTAAACAAGCTACGAATAGCTTCAATGAAGAAGTAGGAAAAGGAGCTGTTAGCGTTGTTTACAAAGGGGAAATGAATAGGGGTTCGGGAAATTTCGTTGCAGTCAAGAAGTTAGAAAGATTGGTTCAAGGTGAGAAGGAATTTGAAGCTGAAGTGAATGTGATTGGGCAGACACATAACAAGAATTTGGTCCGATTGATTGGATTTTGCAATGAGGGACCAAATCGATTACTGGTGTACGAGTATATGAGCAATGGTACGTTAGCTAGCTTCCTTTTCGGAGATACAAGACCGAGTTGGAACCAGAGAATCAGAATTGCCTATGAGATTGGAAGAGGAATCTTGTACTTGCACGAAGAGTGTAGCACCCAGATCATCCATTGTGATATAAAGCCTCAGAATATACTTATTGATGATTATTACAGTGCTCGAATTTCTGACTTCGGATTGGCAAAGCTTTTGATGATTGGTCAGAGCCAAACCCACACTGACATTAGAGGAACTAGAGGGTACGTTGCACCGGAATGGTTCAGGAGCATGCCAATCACAGTGAAAGTCGATGTTTATAGCTTCGGTGTGTTGGTGCTAGAGATCATTTGTTGCCGGAAGAGCGTAGATATGGATACCAGTGAAGTAGAGAAAGCAATCCTTACTGATTGGGCTTATGACTGCTATCAAGAAGGAACGATAGACGCGCTGGTTGAAGGAGACGTGGAGGCCATAAACGATAAGGATAAGCTAGAGAGGTTTGTAATGGTTACCATTTGGTGTATTCAAGAAGACCCGTCTTTAAGACCCACAATGAGGAAGGTAACTCAGATGCTTGAAGGAGTTGTTGAAGTTAATGTTCCCCTATGTCCCTCCCCATTTAGTACTACGATATTGATTTAGAGCAGATTCAGGTCTTTGCTTTGTTTGTTTTATCATTCTTTCTTGTGCTGTCTATGTAATATTCTTGTTGTTATTCTAGTTTGGGTATAAATCTAAGTATGTCGTTGCAAATTTTCTGTTACCAATATTTTCAGGAATAATAATGTTTGTTAATTGATATTTAACTATTTCCAACAAAAGTCCAAAACCATCCGAGGTACAGTTAATGGGCATTATTTAGTGGCTTGATTGGTAGAGTGCCCAGCTCCCTAAACTGGTGTGTCCGTGTTCGACTCCCTCCCATCCCTAGTTTGTCTACAGCTTGCAACACAATTATCTGTTTATGTACAATTGTCTCTGATAATGCACAAAAATAGCAATATGGAAACTTAAGATCTTAATATATGTCTCACCAATTTGCCCCCCACACACTAGCCAGTATGTTCCACTAGACATTCCAACTATCAGCATAGTAAATTTATCTTCATTTTTCCTAGTTTCTTTAAATGACTTCATAATTTGTTTAATTTGTGCTACAAATACTTAGTGGCCATTTAAAGCTATTAAAAATCTAAAATTAAAATTACTTTTGTCATGTTTGGCAGCACAAAGTCTAAACTAAATTTGTTTCAATCCTAAATTCAAAACATCGATTTGGTGTTCCCAATTTTTAAACATGTTAATAAAATGATAGTTCTTGTTAAAGAATTGTAATGTTTATATATATATATATATATATATATATATATATATATATATATATATATTAAAGTTAAAAGTTTTTTTTTCAAAAGTTGGTGGGCCCCACCAATAAATTAACACAAAACAAAGGCCATAAGGCCATTTCTCAAACTTGTCTATCTCTCTGCTGCATCACTGCGCTCGGCAGTTTTTTTTTTTTTTTTTTTTTTTTCTCTTTTTGCAATTGCAAGCTTGATCTAGCTTTATCCCTTTAAAATTTGGTAGAACCTTGTGAAGCAAAGTCGGAGAGCTCGTCGAGGCCTTCAATTCGATAGAAGCCAATCATCATGTGGTGCAATCTAAGGAGTTCGAAATTCTAGGGTTCTTGGGCTGCAAATCGGGGGTTTTGCATTTAAGTGAGGTAGGGGTGTTCTAATCTACAACTTCTTAGTTTTTTTTATGAATTTTCTCCTTAAATTTGATCCTAAGCATGCTAATTTTGATTACCTAGCTTGTGGTTGTTGTAAGTATGATTAACTAAAATGATCGATGTGTTCCATATGTTATTTGAAATCATATATATGACTAAATTTATTATGGTGAATGAACATACTTAGTGTTGACATATTGTATGCCTTAAGATTATGTATTTATTTATATATTGCTTTGAAAAATTGATGTTATGGTCAATAAATAAATAAATAAATAAAACAAATGAATGTTTAGAAATTTTCTCTAACTTGTGATGATGATGTAAATGGAAATGTGTGAAATCATATAGTTATATTGATGATTTGAAACATGAAGTATTCATACATCAATTGGGAAAGAGAAAGGGGGGAAAAATATTTGTTAGAATAAATAAAATTATTTTGGGGAAAATATTTTCTAAAAGTGTTGCGAAAACCGGACGCCTAGGAGGTGCCTAGTGGTCCGTGATGTTGGTGTAGTCTAGAAGGGAATGTAGTTGAGTTAACTAGGCCGGATGCGACACCTTGGAGGTGCCTTGTGGTCGTGAATAGTTAACCAACCTTCCTTTCGTGATGCCATGGAGGTGGATTGGGTCGGACTGCACTAACGGTTTGGTTGTTGAAATGGAATTGTTTCGGAAATAGGGAATGATATTTGCATAACATTGCACTTCATGACATTGTGGTAAATTTGTGATTGGTTGATATTTGTTATATACTTGTTATTGTGGTTGAGAATGTGCGTTTCCTGATGGCATGATCCCGTTCACTTTTTATCTATTCATTGTATGGATTCACGGGGACATAAGAAGTGTGTCTTAGACACTTCCTACTGAGTTTATGCTCACCCCATTATTTTAAACATTTTTCAAGATATGGAAAAGAGGTGGCGGACGATGAGCCACCACAAGTTTAGACGAGCTTTGGGATCTATTTTATTTTTGCTATCTTTTGTATTAGAATTTTAATATATATTTTGTAAATGTAATCTTAAATATTTTGTGAAACTTTAGTTTAGTTGATATAATGTTGTAAGCTATGTACTTAAAATTTTAGCTACAATTATGGACTGTAACTTGATCGATGTAACGGATGTGTCCCTTGTTTGGATGAGATGGAGGAACGGGACTTTTGTATGTATGTAACCATTTTGGGAATGTAGTATAATATCTGAATTGTGCGTTAGGACAAGATAAGTTAGATTTAAGGCCCAGTGAGGCCATTGCATTTATTTTTGTATTTCAACAGGTTGTTGAGGGACATTTTCTGCGGAGGTCATGCCAAAATTTTTATAGATTTTTATTATTATTTTGGTATCTTTTCGGGTTGTTACAAGAACTAATATGAAATCCAATCTTGAAAAATTAAAAGTTTCAATTCAATTCCTTATAAGTTATAAATTTTGTACATCAAATTCCCAAGTTCTTATGAACCTATATATGGTTGTATATTTAAACATTTACCATGAAAAACCTTCCTATAATCACAAGAGTAGATAAATTTAATTGTCACGAAAAGGGATAATAATAATAATAATTTTGGTCCTCTCGGTGATCACGATTTTGTTTTTTACACAATTGGGAGCTTTTGAAATCTAAGCATCTTGCTGGTTTGACCCTCGTAGACTTGTACACGTTCTCCCATTTTTAACTTGGAATTGACTCTGATATCATTTGTCACAACTAGTTGCTTTGTACACTCTTCTCGATACTCACAGTTTTTCTTAAAAATACATTTACACAGTTAGGAGATGTCCACACAAAATCATGAAATATTGTAAAGCAAAAAACAAAAAAAACATGCTTTACAAGTTAATGTTGGCGTTCACTTCCATTGGCAAATAGAGTTCATACCTATTGGTTAAGGGCCTGATTGATTCAGACAATGTGTGGCAACGGTTTGATAATATTTGGTGTGTTTTAAATAGTATCGAACCGTCTGTAAAAATGAATAATTCTTAATAAATGGAGTTTTGGAGGAATTGTGCCAAATACATGGACTCAACATTTCTCTTTACAGAATGATGGATTTTTCCCAAAGTCGGACGCAGACATGGAATTATACCGTATATGATCTTTTGCTTCCCAAACTACCCATATTATTGTTAGAAAATTACCCAACTACCAATTCACCAACTTAACTAACTTTACGGATTCACTCGCACATTCTCTCTCTTCGTTACTCTTTCAAGGGATTCCTGGCGACGCCTCTCTCCAGCCTTTGACATAGCCAAAGAATAGAGAAATCGGCTGCCAACGATCACTAGCACTGCCCATTGCTAGATATTACCGGCGAGTCACTCCAATGAACACTTGTCAGGTTCAATACCCTCTCTCTCTAACTAGATCTGAAGCATCTCTCTTTTATCAAATTTATTTTTTTTTATTATTATTATTATTTTTTATCCTAAATACAGCCTCTCGAATTCGACTTTTAAAGTTTAAATGACGAGTAAGTTAACTCAACATCCATTTTATTTTACGAAATAATAATAATAAAAATAAAAAACTCAACATACCACTTCAGTTTGTTGTTTTTCGGGAGATAATGGGTAGCTTAAGGGTTGGCTTAGGAAAATAGAATTTCCCAACATACCAGTCATATATAGAATTTCCCAGAGCATCTCAGATTGAGAAATAATAGATTCAGAAATAATTACCGCAGGGGTCATTAGCGCTTTTTTTTTTATTTTTTTTATTTTCTTCATTGTTATAATAGAAATGTATGATGATGATGATGATTAATTTTGCCTTTATTTTTTTCTTACTTTTTTTCTTCATCTCAGAAGTTAGTCTGTTTTGTGGTTTTTATAACTTTTATTGCCTAGTCCTAAACATACAGACCCCTCACTTAACAGTTTATTTGAAAAAATGGATGAGTCATATGTTGCATGCATTTGTCATTTGGACGGAGAATTTTTTTTAAAAAAAACTAATGGGGAAATCACAAACATTGGCGGTTGGAAGGACAGTTTAATGGTAACAAGAATGATGACGTATGAATCATTTTTAGAGGATATACGTAGTCGTTCCTCTTCAGACAATAGTAGCAAAGTCATATATTTCACCCCAGAATATAATAAGACCGAATTTGTGAGGATGGTGGGGGAACTTGGATTTAAAGCAATGCTGGTTATCAATGACCTTAATATCAAATATATATGTTGCTGCAGATGCAATGGATGTTGATGCACCATGTATAGTTCCAAGCGGCAACAGCCTGAGGTAAGACACACACATACGTAAAGTACTATATTTTATGCATGCATTGCATGTGGAATCAATTTCTTACTATATTTGTTGGTGTACATGTAGAGATTTTGTTGAAGAAGTTGGCAATGTGTCAAAGTCTTCACTTCCTCCAAGTAATTCACACCAGAGTTCATTTCTGCACATTGATGAAATTAATTGTGAGGGTCAGCTCTTTAAAAGCCCAAATGATTTCAAAGATGAGCTCACGTTGTTTGCACTCCGTAACCATATTCAATTCAAGTACAGGACAATAGTAGAAAATATTACAGAGTGGTTTGTGAAGCTAAGGGTTGTCCATAGAAATTGACTGCTGGTTGTGAAGGCAATAGTGATATGGTGAGAAACATTCGGTTTAATAATGTTCATACCCACACTGCTCAAGATATTTCAGATTATAAACCCATTTTCCACTCGAAAGAAATGGGTCGAGTTATTGTGAATAAGGTCAGGGACAACCCTTCATACAAACCCAATGTTATTTACTCGGATTTAGAGAGTGAATTTTCTGTTAACATGACTTACAAACAAGCTTGGAGAGCGAAGGAGCGTGCAAATCAGATCATTGAACGGTGTCCGAAGGATAGTTATATTTTAGTCCCGTGGTTGTGCCAACGAATATCAGAAGCAATTCCTGGGACATTTACATCTTGGGAGTGCACAGATGATATGAGATTCAAGCGAGTGTTTGTGGCTTATGGATGCTCTATAAGAGGGTTCAACAACTATTGCAGGCCCATTTTATCAATTGATGATTGTCACTTGAGTGGCAATTATAAAGGCACAATGCTTGGTGCAACAGGTTATGATGCAAACCATGGCTTGTGGCCTTTGGCTTATGGTATCGTTTCGAGTGAGAATGATGATGATTGGCATTGGTTCTTGAACTTGCTTAAACATATTTTAGATGGTCGCAGTGTGACGATCTTAACTGATAGGCATCCGAGCTTGAAAAAATGCGTGAGGGATATTTTGGCTCTCAATACCACTCATGGTGTGTTCGGCATCATTTGACGGAAAATTTCTCACAATATATTAATGGAAAATCAAGTTTAAAATTGAGGGGCAATGTAAAGAAAGTGCGCTAAAGATGCTTAATAATATTGCATATGCTCGGACCGAAGAGTACTACTACGAGAATGCATTGGCAGACATGGCAGCATTTTGGGTGGAGCTAAGTGATTGGGTTTTGAAGAATTCACCTCAACAGTGGTCAAATTCTAAATTTCCTTTCAAGCGTTGGGATAAAATACGCAACAACCAAGCAGAGTCCCATAATGCATGGGTGGTAAAAGATAGGAGTTTGTCAATCACAAGGTTCATGGATCAACACATGCAAAGAATCACAAAATTTTTATACAAAAAAAGTGTGAAAGTTCAGACGTGGACAATCTGAGTTGGCAAGCGTATTGAAAAAAAAAATCCTAGATGCTCAAGAACTTGCACTTGGTTTTACTTTGATTCGTGCTTCCAGTACTGAGTGTACAGTATATGATCGACAAAGAAGACCATTCAAGGTGGTTTTAAGCCCTGAACAATATTGTAGTTGTTTGGCACAATATTGTAGTTGTTTGGCTTGGAGCATGACTCGGATTCCTTGTTCACATGCTTGTTATGCCATTCAAAATATTCTTTAAATATTTATGATATGGTTTAATCATGGTTTAGGGTTGAAACACAGAAGAAATTATGTGAACATCTGATGTCTCCGGTCCCCATGCATGATATGCCGGTGCTAGGTGGTGATGATGAATATACTTCTGATCTTAGGCCTCCAGTGGTAATACGTCCCTGTGGACGACCCCGAGTTAAATGAATTGAATCACAATTTCAAAATGCAAGGTTGATGCATTGTTCGCAATGCGGTCAAACTAGTCATAATTGTAGAAATTGCAAAGAAGCTCTACCGGGATAGGATGTTTTAAATGCATTTTGTTTAACCTTCCGATTATTTTGTTGTCAAAACCAATTAATGTTTTGGGCCTATGCGCTGACTATAAGTCTTTGCAGTTTGCTAATAATTTCAGAATTTCATTACAGTTTGCTAATTTCAGAATTTTATTACAGTTTGCTTATTCCTCAATTTCATTAGAGTTTGTTAATTCAGAATTTCGTTACAGTGTCTTGATTCCACAATTTTCATTACAGTTTGTTCTCTTTTTTTGAAAGGTGAATTTAAATTATAGATAAAAATATAACAAATGTACAAGACCAAAGTTGTAGTTTGTTGATTCAGCAAAGCTTGTGAACGAAAATCCAAAGCAAAATCAATTCAAACCTAAAATAATAAAATCAATGGCGAGATACGAAGATTGCTTTTCCCCTGAGGAGAATGTGCCAGTGAATCCGTATAGTTAGTGAAGTCGGTGAATTGGCAGTTGGGTAATTTTTTTAAGAAAATATGGATAGTTTAAGAATAATATGGATAGTTTAGGAAGCAAAAGATTATGTACAGTATAATTCCATGTCTATGTCCGACTTTGAAAAAAATCCATCATTCTGGAAAGAGAAATGTTGTCTCCATGTATTTGGCACAATCCCTCCAAAACTCCATTTATTAGGAATTATTCCTTGTAGCAAAAGCGATGAACAATAAAAAAGAATTATAAAAAAAATCTTAAATTACCTTTTTTATCAAACATATTTTTATATTTTTTCTTCGAAAGTCTTGCAACAAATATAATGTTATCAAACATGCTTCCGAATAGTATTGAGAGTACTCCAAAATAGAAACGCTATTTTTATTTCAGGTCAGAACAAAATTACGAAACAAAAACGATGTAAATGGGTTGATTATGGGACTAAGATTTCAATAAGAAGAAGTAATCCATTATGGGACTAAGATTTCAATAAGAAGAAGTAATCCATTATGGGACTAAGATTTCAATAAGAAGAAGTAATAACTATTCTTTAATGATGGTTCATAATTGTAATTTTTTACATTGTTGCACTTCTATACCAGTCAATTATGTGAACACCTGATTTTGTATTTATACAAGCCTTGGTCAATCTTGACCTCTAAAATGACCTAATTACCCTTTACATACATAACACTCCAAAATATGATATAAATGATACAATTTAGCATATAACCACATAAATGCACTCTAAATAAATAAATATGAAATGCAATGATCCCGAAAATAATCCTATGTGCAAAAAATCCAGATGTAGGTCTCACTTGGGACCTCCTAGCTCGAAAATCCGTAAAATGCCGAAATGGCTAACAATACATTTCTAATAGTCTCGAACTCGAAGAAATTTCCTAACCAACTCTCGGGACTCATATGGCACACCTCACGGTATCCTACACGCAAAATGAAGCGATAAAATAATTAAATCTGAAAATTCAAAAATTCTTGAAAAATGGAAAATGGAAATATTACACTACGTAGGCCCCAAATGATACTAAGGAGTTGCCTTAGGTCAGGGATAGTTAGCCAATCCTTCTCTCGTGGCGATGGGGAGTTGCCTCAATCCGGGTTACATTAACAGTTTGACGGTAATTGCGTTGGCAAGGATTTTATTTGAAAAATGAGGAGCGACATTGGCATTGCATTTAGACCTGTCAATGGATCGGATTCTGATCCGAATCCGATCCGATTAGTCGGATATGGATTAAACAAAAAATTCGATAACCCGTTTATGATCCGAATCCGATAATCCGTTTGTTTAACAAATCAGATATGGATTTTACCGATTCTATTCGATAATAATCCGATCCGAATTAAAATTACATATATATATAAGAGTCCAGCACTCCAGACCCAAACCCATCTCCAAGCCTATATATATATATATATAAGTCCAGCCCCAAATCCATCTTCAAGCCCACTTCTCCTTCCCAAGCCCATTAAACCTCCTTTAATCTATCTAAACCCTAACTCACAAGTTCACAACAACATTATCTCGCCTGTTCTCTCACTCACACTACCGTTGCCGCAAAACAACCTTTTTTCCAAACGTTCCCACAGTCCCACGTAGCAAAGCTGCAACACAAACCAGAAAAAGGAAGCCATCGATTGGCGATCGCTGCAAAATATTACTCCTTTCAGGTTAGTGTTCTTCCTTTCTCTCTCATCCGATCTCACTTTTAATCGGAATTTTTGCTTTGATTCCTTCAAGCTCTTGGTCAAGCTTTTTTATTTTGTAACATTTTCCCTCAATCTGTGTTAGTTGGGAATGGAGGCCCTTAATATTCAAGTTGTGCACTCAGATCTCACCGCCCTTAAACTAGGCCTTCAACACCGGCATCCCCAAGAACTAGGGCAAGCAGGAGTCAACCCCAGTAGCAGAAGAGTATCTGATGGTTAAACAGAGGAAAAGATCAGTTATAGAACCATTGAAAGTGGAGTTTTGTCTGTGCCAACTACTGGTCCTTTGCTACCTACTGAATACTAATATATATTTTACCTAATTTGTGGTGTTCTTTTTTTTCTATTTCATAAAATCTGTTAGTTAATTTTTTTTTGTTTTCCTTCTATTATTCTTGTCTCTCTCAATTTGATTTTTATTACATTTTATGGTGTAAATATTTTCATAATTTTATCTGTAGAAACTCTCTCAATTTTTTTTTCAAGTTTCCTACCTAATTTGTTTGTTGATTTATGCAAAGTGTGTAGTTACATTATCGGATCGAACTATTGGATCAGACATCTGATAATCAAACAAATTGGATATGGATTGACTTAGTAAAAATCCGTCGGATTGTCGAACCGGATCGGATCACTCATTATGCTTATCGGATTCGGATCAGATTGACCATGATCCGGTCCAAATCCAATCCATTGACAAGTCTAATTGCATTACATTTTATGGATTATGTCAGATTTGTATGATGATGAGTATTTTCCCTAAATAAGCATGACCCTATTTCCTTTATTCTATGCTTTATATGAGATTCACAGGGCCATTAAGAGGTGTGTTTTAGGCACCTCCTACTGAGCTGTTGCGCTCACCCCTTCATTACCATATTTCAGGAAACGGGAAAGAACCTTTGGGAACCCTTTTTTGACGACTAACTACTTAAACTCTTTTAAAGACCATGTAATTATTCGACGTTTTTGCATATGTAATGATAAGTGTAACTATTTTGTCTCCAACTTGTATTTAATGGTTACTTACATTCACTTTGCGGTTAAAAATGGTTTTAAGACCATTCTTTTGCATTCGTGGTCTCATTCAGATTTCCAAATCCATGTAAGGCCTTATGGCCATGTTTTGATGTAACCGGACTCATTATGACTTCAATTAATGTATCAAGCTCGTTTATGTTTTAAGAGAATGTATGGATGTTAATTGTAGTCGTAACCTACCAAATGCATGTTTTTAGGACAGGTTTAGACCATATTTAAGGTCACAAATGGACCAATACAGGTACCGGGTCTTAAACCACCACAAAGTAGGCCTTAAAGGCCAAGGAAGGGTAAACCGGTCAACGTGTTGAAGCTAAGATGTCGACTGGTATCTAGGCACTGGCATTTTCTAGGTGTAGAGCTAAACTGGTCGACATGAAGTTGCATACGTCAACTGATTTAGCAGAACTAGTCGATGTGTACCCTGCACACGTCGACTAGTTCCTGTTGTTTCCTTGTTTTCATTTCTTCATTTCTCCTGTCCAATCCTGAGCTATTTGATGATGCTATAGAGCACTGTAAACCTTAAAATTATGTATTAATTATATTTAAACATTAGAAATGACCGTATTACCCTTAGATGACTTAGGTTCGGTTAAGGACCCGAATAATGATCCAGACCCCCGAGTTTGGGTCGTTACAGAGAAAGTCTCGTTGCAGTAGAGATGCATTTCTCTACCATTCACCTAGAAGTTGTTAGGTTTCCCTTACATCATTTATACCATTTTGTACTTAAACAACTCAGTTTTGCCCCCTTGCAAGTTAATCTGAATTTTTTTAGGATATAATCTGTGCTCCTCATCTTGAACCAAAGATGGGGATTAGACCTTAACTTGATCGATTTATTTTTCTGCTATAAAGTGTCCAAGATCCATCTTA